TATAGTATATAATTAAATAAATTATCAAAACTGAACAAAAAATCAGTTGCTTAATAATTTTCACATTTTTGTGAAGACATTATGTTTATTGAAAGGTTAGTGTTACTACAGGGGGTACTTCAAGCAAATAATAGGGATTTGGCTGACCAAAAAAAAAAAACAGTTGGCAATCCCTGGTTTAGATAAACTTACCAGAAGAGATCACTCAGCCAGCCATGACATGTGTTATAAAAGCTTGGATAAAGAAAACCGAGATTAATTTCAATGAGAAACTTCATGTCATTAATTTTGTAAATAGAGGGAAGTCTTGAGTAACTGTTCTTACCTTCATAGTTAATACAACCATTTGTGTCCTCCTGCCCTGCCAGCAACTGATCCACTTCACCCTCAGACAGTCTCTCACCTGGAATTGAGCCAATGAGCAAAATGAAAATCACTTTATCATTATTGTTGTTGTTGTATCTTTTTTTTTTTTTTTTACAAGATTATACATTTTAAGGTCTCAGTGTTTTTAACATTTGAACACAACCAATGGTCAAATATTTTTTTTTTGGATTTGGCACATTTTCTCTCCATAATTCCATACCCAAAGTAGCAAGCACATGGCGGAGTTCAGTCCCCATGACTGTTCCATTGCCTTCTTTGTCAAAGACCCTTAGGCCTTCCGCAAAATCTTCAAATGTGCCCCTTTCAGTAGACTTTGAAACTTGTTGAAACATAGGCAGGAATGTCTCAAAGTCGATCAGTTTGGATTCCATCTCTGGATGACACAATTTAAATACAGCAATCAGTAAATTCTTGCATTTTTTGACAATCTGAAATAAACATTCTTTAGAGGGAAAATTAAAAATCCAAATGCCCTCCATTGACTTAATTTGAATGACTTTTTTCCACAAAGGATCTTTTGGGTTTCATGCAAGAAATAAAGTCATACAGGTTTGGAACAACATGAGGATGAGTGTGAACTATCCCTTTAAGCTTTCATAGCTCGATTACAAAAAGTAAATGTTATATTTAGTTAGTGTCCTTTGTCACCATGAGCATTTTTTGCTTATACAATGTTGTGTCGATGTGTCCTAATGCATTCCTGTGGATGAAACAACACTTTGACTTAGTGAGCCATCATGATGAGGATTAACTGGATCTCAGTATTCAGAGAATGACTTTCAGATGTCACAGGGATCTTGACTGCTAGTGACATCTTTGACATTTGTGACAATTAACACCCCAGTAATCTCTGTGACATGTGTTAAGTCTTTCCCTTGGTTTGCTTCTGAAGGATCCCATGGGACGCAGGAAAGCAATAGCTTGAGTCATTTTATAGACAAGTTATTCTCAACCATGTTATCCCCCCCCCCAGTTGTGAGACTACCTTCAGGCTTTGGTTTTCCAAGAACATTCAAAACTTCAGCATTGGTTGGGTTCTGACCCAAAGCTCTCATCACATCTCCACACTGAGCTAGTGAAATCTTCATCTCCCCTGAGGGAGTTCCGGCGAACAGCAGGAAAGCTTCTTTGAACTCTGTATAAATGCAAAATGACATAAAAAGTTAGTTCATTTCAAATGAAGTTGATCAAATTATCTTTTCAGGCTGTTCCTTACCTTCAAGCTGTTGAGCACTGAGATTACCCTGAAACCCAGAACAAGAGGTTGTTTTTTAGGTTTTTGTAGATGTTTATGATTTGGAATTTGCACTAATATATAGTCATCAGGAAAATATATAAATTCAATCATAGTCATATAGTGCTGACTCACGCTTGAAATACATTCTTGCATTTTTTGATCATTCATGATCTTCTACCATTCTTTACTGCACAGATGTTAGCGTCATATGTTAAATAACAGTCTGGCAGTTGTTCTGCCATCATTTTTCCTGGCACCACGATTAATCTCCCCTCAGTATGTTTATGAGATCATATCATACATATCTGTCTCCCTGGGGAGTCTAACTTAGGAAGTGTGTGAATTCAGTGGTGAGTGGGACGACCTCATACCTCAGTAGCAGGTGTGTGTAGATCCATGTAAAGAACATCTACTGGAATCTGGCCATGAAGCAGTGTATATTGTACAGTACATGCCCAGGCAATTACACAACTGCTTAGCAAATGTGCAGTTGTATCAATAGAATTGATCATTGAGCAATAAGGAGTACATTAATAATAATAATAATAATAATAATAACCTTTTGCATTTATGTCTACACCATTTTGGTTATTCACCAGGATTTTTTTTCTGTATTGCCTGATATTGAAGATTTATATATCAATATTATATATTTAATTGTTTCCACCTTTTAAAAGTTCATCTAGCATTAAATTGAATTGTGGTTTCTCTTTAAAAGCACATATGCGAGTTCTTGTGCATATTTCTTAAAAGAGTAAACTTATTAATCTTGCTGTACATTATAAGTGTAATATTTATTTTAGTTTTAGTGTTTATTTATTATTTTTCTATACATTTCAGTATCGGTACATCTCTATTTTAAATATGTAGACTTCTCATTTTTGAAACTTTTTATCATTGTGCCTCATTTTAAATTTTTCAAACGATTAAACCCTAATTTTGATTACCCAGTGCTTGTCAATAAAGTGATAATCTACATTTAGAATCTATAATTTAGTCTTTTAAATTTAGAAAAAAAACATACACATTTAAATATAGACATCAAGTGGACCCATCAATCCAGCCCACAAGACAACTGAGTAAAATGAAATACCATAACACAGAGACTTACCACAGCGACAGGATCACATTTGAAAGCTGGATTTGGAGGAGAAGCTGGTGCTTTAGCTGGTTCTGGGGCCGCTACCACTGGGGCTGGTCCAGGTGCAGGGGTGACTTTTTCAGGAGGTTTTGTAGCTGACTCTGGTGTTGTAGTTGAGGCAGAAGCAGCCGTTTCCAGTGCTGGCGTTGTTAGTTTAGGATCGGCTGCTAATGCTGGTTCTGCTGCTCCGGAAGCTTGTTCTTCCTTTGGAGCTGGGGTTGACTTTCCTTCTTTTTTGGACATTGACTTTTGTGAAGCCATGGTGGTGTAATCACAACAAGTGAATGGACAAAAATGAAACCTTATTCAAATGTTTGACTGCTGTTGATTGGTACGAATCGGAGCCCTATACGTTATATACTCAGCTCGATCTCCCTAAATTTGTTGCACCTCCCCAATATTACTCACATTTCTAAAAAGGGAAAGAATGCTGTGACTCCAGTGGGTCCACTAAAGTTCACAGAATACAAATCCCCTCCCCACTTCACATTGTCATACCTTTTCTGTCTGTTCACAGCACCATTAAACATCTCTCATGTCAATATTTTGTATTAGGCACTATAAATGGGTAGATGGATATGACATTTTGTGTTCTGCTACTGGACATCATCCTGACATATTATAAAGCAGTAAGGATGAGAGCAGTAGTAGGAGTGCTTTTAATAGACACAAAGGCTGCAGTTTAACCATACCCCCAAACAATAACACCTCATTTACACCTGCTCTGCTTTTCCAAAACATATGGGCATTTTTGGCCCGGTGAACTTTTGGAAAATGTATTGCCACTCTTTTTACTTTATAACTAAATTATTAGCTAATCATGTGTAACTGTAAACATACTGTCATGGTACACAAGGCAGGGACATGAGGTAAGAGTGCAAACATGTTGGTTTATTGACAGAGGCTGGCTATGAAGACAGATGGCAGGCAAGTCGTGAGAATAAGAGAGAGTTTGAGGGTTCTTAGCTCTGGGTAATTGGAGTCTGCTCTGTTGCAGGAGTCCGGGGAATGAACAGGGTCGACGAGGGACAGGATCGCTGGAACGTAGGAGACACTAGAGCGAAGTAGAGACAACAGGTAAATAGCAGGTAAGGGTCTAGAATAGTTTGCCATGGTGAACGGTAGACCGGACGGTGAGCGAATAGAAGGAGTGTGCTTTTGAAGGTGGCTTGATTGAAGACGGCAGTTGCAGGTGATCAGAACTCCAGGTGATGGTGATAGTGACTGTGAACAGGTGCGAGCCGGGGAGGATTCTGGGGTATGGAGTCCAGAGCTAGTGACAGAGAATTCCTGACATTACCTCCCCCTCCCGGAAGAGGCGTCCCGCTCCGTAACATATCCACCGGGGAGGGGGGGTGGCGCCCTGGAGGCTGGTCCAAGACAGAGACACGGGAGGCCTCCAGGGCAGATCAGGGAGCTCAGGAGGCCATGGTGGCTCTGCCTCCGAGGCAGTGGCCCCAGCCCCCACCTCTACGACCGGAGCCCTACTACCACCCCAAAAAAAAATCCTTGGGGAAACTTACGGGGCTGAACTCGGGAACTGGAGCCCTCTTGTGGGCTATACTCGGGAACTGGGAAGCGCTTACGAGGAGCTGGCACTGGAGGGTGCTCTGGAGGAGCAGGCACAGCAAGGCGACAGGGGGCCGACACCGGAGCGAGCTCTGGGACAGGGATGAGGGCGGAGAACAGTTAGAGGTGAATTGGGTGGCTGGGGGGCTTTCCACGGGAACGATCGGCGGGCTTGCAACAGGAACGGCCTGTGGGCTTGAGAGAGCTGCGGCTGGCGGGCTTGACTTCGTAATGGCCAGCGGACTTGATTGAGGGTGGATGGGACTGCTGTGTGATGCCTCTGGGCTGGCAGAGAGGAGACGAGATCCGCTGACGAACCGAGCCAGATTGATGTAATCAACCAGAGTCCACCGGTCAAGGGAAATCCACTCTGAGCAGGCAAGGAACTCCTGGATATACTCATCCAGGGGACGGCCGTCTTGATATACTGAACATAACTGCTCTAAGGAATCCATTAGAAGTGAATGTTCTTGGTCCGGTCTTCTGTCACGGTACACAAGGCAGAGACATGAGGTAAGAGTGCAAACAGGTTGGTTTATTTACAGAGGCTGGCTATGAAGACAGATGGCAGGTAAGTCGGGAGAATAAGAGAGAGTTTGAGGGTTCTTAGATCTGGGTAATTGGAGTCTGCTCTGTTGCAGGGGAATGAACAGGGTCGACGATGGACAGGATCGCTGGAACGTAGGAGACACTAGAGACAACAGGTAAATAGCAGGTAAGGGCCTAGAATAGTTCACCAGGGTAAACGGTAGACCGGACGGTGAGTGACTGGAAGGAGCGTGCTTTTGAAGGTGGCTTGATTGAAGACGGCAGGTGCAGGTGATCAGAACTCCAGGTGATGGTGATCGTGACTGTGAACAGGTGTGAGCCAGGGAGGATTCTGGGGTATGGAGTCCAGAGCTGGTGACTGGTGACAGAGACTCCCTGACACATACATAGCTCACAAACCTCACTTCATTTTCTAAGTCATTTTCTCCATTTACATCATCAACATCTTTCACATTTTCCATCACATTTCAAATGCTGTATAACATGGCAAAATTGTTGGTCATAAAGGAAATTACACCTTAACTGAAGAAAATAAATTTAACAAAATAAATAGAAAATAAATTTAACACAATAAATAATGAAAAGAGAATGAGTATTTCACTTGAAATAAGTTGTCTTGTGATGGCTTGTTCTATAAATAAAGGCTAAAAGTCTGGATCTGGAACAAGGGTAAAACAAATTTGTTTATATAAAAATATACATATATTGACCTTCATGCCACAATAGTTTCTAAACACACCAATGAATGACGCATTCAAAATGACACATTCATTTTGTCATTTTCAAATTCTCACTTTCATCATTTCAAACATCTCTCTATCTCTGAATATTGTATGAATGTATAGTCCTGCTCAAGACCTGCTTTCTGTCTACACCTACCTCAGCTCCTCAGGGGAAGGACAGGCTTTAAAAATGGATGGACGGTGTGGCATGGTCCATCTGCACCTACAGAATAAACATTACTACCGTCCACTTAATTACAGACAAAATAAACGGCTAATTCCAAAATCCTGTAAAATACGCATTAAGCTGCATTAAAATCATAATTGTTTGTTAACCAACGCTTTTCAAAATGTGTTCAGTTATAACATAAAACAGTCTGTGGTTTGGAGGGCCTTTGTCATTTGCATACCTCTGAAGTAATGTCATTCTTTTAACTCAGAAATAGTGATATATGTTCACCCATGCAGTAAATAGCGCTGGATAAAAGACTCATTTAACCTCCCTAGTGTGATGAAGCAGGCAGGTAGAATGAA